CAGCTACGGTGACGATGCGAACGATGCGACCGGCGACCGCTGCGTCTATCCCGCTCTCTGTCACGACGGTGAGTGGACCTTCTGGATTCTAGAGACGGGGAGCGGATACGAGGACCATCTTCTGTAGTGGATGGCTCTTCGTACTTGTCCTCCCGACGAGGCCTCCTTGGCCGATCTCGTCTACGCTCGGATTCTTCAGTACCACGGTTGACACTCGGAGAACGTTCACGATACCGGCGGCGACTATCGGCACGAGATGGAGGAGATCGGGACCTGGATCTTGATGCCGATCTAGCTCTCGACTTCGATCTTGGCACGGACTGTGGGCGCTGGTCCTCTTGTCCGGGGGTTGGGGTTACACTGAGAAGGAAACATCAATATTGGTCGAGCTTGCAATGGGTTGCATGTGGAGCATTATTCTTACCTTTGTGAGGCTTCGGGCCTCATGGGAGTCGCTGAGGAACGTCCATGAAAATTCCGCTGCCGGAGAATGCTGGTGTTGGGAAGACCTTCTCGCATGGCTCGGGGAGCTGCCGGTGCACCTTCAACACCCTGTCCGCGAGGCTCGGGATACATGTTAGAGCCTGTCATAAACGGAGGACCGTTAAAGCCACCAGGACGTGCGCCTGGGAAGGGACCGCGCATATAGCCACCTCTGCCAAAGCCAGGTCCCATAGGGCCAGACATGCCCATAGGGCCACCCGACATGCCTTGTGCGGCGTGGACTTGGTCTAGACTATCAATTGTCGGTATCCCACGCAGCTGATTCTCCTCCTGGCCTGGAAGCTCTTGTGTAGAGTCTCTATTGATGTTGGGATCAGATTCCCCGTTCTCACCCATGCTTTCGGCAGCAGCGGCAGCATCTCCCGCCGAAGCATCTTGAGCAGAAGTCACATCGCCACTTAGGGCATTCTCGCCGGCACCTTCCTTATTGGCTTCAGTACTGACCTCCCCGGACATGTCCCCAGATACGCCATCCTGACCATCACTAAGGGGATTATGGTTTGGGAAGTCTGGATAGTTAGCATTAGCAGGATGATTGGGTTGCATATGCCCTCCAAAACCACCGCGACCACCGGCAAATCCTCCGCGGCCACGGCCACGGAACGCGCCTCTGCCATGACCGGCATAAGAGCCATTTGGATAATCTTGGCTAGGAAACTGCTGCGGCTGCATTTGAGCATGAACTCCGTTGGGTTGAGACATATTATAACCGCCAAATCCAGAGGGGCCCCCAAACTGCGGACCCATACCATTTGCGAAAGCATTTGGATTGAATTTATCTTGGCCTCCATTCCACATATTGTTCTGTGAGCCGTCCCATCCCCCATACATCCCCTGACCCGCGTCGAAACTCATTCCCATGTTCATGCCATTCATGTTCATCCCGTAGCCTCCAAACATACCCTGATTCGCGGCCATCGGGTCCATCGCCATGCCAGGCATTCCTAGCGCGCACGTCAGTTCATCAATCCAATGTCGCCTCGGGGCAGGAGATGACGAGCGGAAACTCACCCATAGCGTTAGGGAAGTTGAACATTCCATTGTTCATAAATTGGGCCATAGGGTTGAAACCACCGTTGTTGTTCCAAGCCATATTAGGGAACATCCCGGCACCCATGCCGAAGCCCATGCCATTTGGGAGCATGCTCCCCGCCGGACCTTGGGACGCTTCGTCATCGTTGACTTGGTCGGTCTTGGCTTCATCGGCTTCGTTGCCTTCACCAGATCCGTCGTGTTCCGCATCCCCAGCGTCGTTCTGCGTGTCAGCAGGGACACTTGTAGACTGGCCATCCTGCGCGAGTGGAAGATTAGCCTAGATGTAGGCGATTGATGTTGGGTGACATACTTGGGCCTGCGCCTCTGTAGGTGCTTCGTCGCCCACACCTGGTGTGTTCTGCACATTTAGGTCTCCGGCATCCGCGGGGTTGGCTGTTTCTACCGGCGGAGCATCGACAGATTCACTAGGTGCAGGGATTTCTTCAGAGGCTGGAACTTCGGCGGCGCTCGGCACCGCAGGTGTCTCCAGTTGAGCAGGAGTGCCGTCCGCGGTTGTTGCACCATTGGTGGTTGCGGGCGTCGCAGGGGTTGCTGACTGTCGCTCCTTCTCACGCTTCTTCTCTTCTGTACGCAGAAAGGCCTTCAATGTGGTGCGGAGCGCTTTGTTCGGCTTGCATAGATCGGGCGAGATGGGAGTATGCGCGCATACGGGGCAAGTCTCCGGGAGAGAAGCCTGGCCTGTAGGAACATTGGTTAGAATGGAATGGAAGTATAACACGGAGTCGTCAACGGAATCGTACAATGTTCGCAGATCGCTTGGTCGCAGCAGGGTAAGCGGAAGGCGTTCACGGCAAGCTTATTGCACATGGCGCATCGCAGCTTGAACGGGATCTCATCTTGGGTGAGAGAGCTGTATTGGAAACGCGAATTAGTTCTCGGGTCAAAGACATGTATGACCGAAGAGCGCAAGGCTGGAATATGACCTACCTGGCGATGTCCATCAAGCCCGAAGGCTGATCTGCGACAGCCATCGGGGATGACGAGGCTAGACCGGAGGGAAAGGTAAGTCCAGAAGAAAGGTGTCAAATGTGCAGAAAAGGGAATAGTAGGCAGCCACACTGGCAAAGACAAAGAACGCGATCTAATTCGCCATCAATAGGAGGTGGCAGCCATTCCTGCTGGCGTCGCTCGGAAATGCAAAGCCCGTGAATCGACAATCGGGGTGAATGTCGCGATGGACAATCTGTGCCTGTTTGACCAAATTTGGAGGCCGGAGGCGGGCCGGAGCGGAACAACCGCCTGTCCGAGGCTTTCCGGCGCATCGCCCCGCCCTTCTGCTCCTCTTCTCCAGCGCCTGCGTTCGGTTGTTTCCTGGCTGGAAGGTGACATCGATCATCTGGTTTTGCTGCTTGGTTGTCCGTTCCGTTACGCTGAAGTTGTTGGTGGATACTCCTGGCGCTTAAGGAGGATTGGGGATGTGGATGAGATCCTCTCTACGGAACAACTTGGCTAACTATACCAACTACGGAAGTCCAGCCTCATCATCGTCCAGAACGTGCGGTTTCAAATGAGACTTTGTCATTTGCAGACCACTAAATAACTAACTAAGGTTTGGGACCAGTCATAGGGATATTCAAGGCGGCACGGCACACCGCCAACTGCGGCGAACTGGACCCCTGGTTGTCATCCATCATCCATCCCTGCTGCGCGCCACGAACTCAAGGCAGACGAGTTACCTTGCGACTACATTGTAGGATAGGATTCCAGATTCCAACCTGGGTTACGGAAGGGCCAGCGCTAGACCGACTCTGGGAAAGAATGCATTCTCTAGCTCTATCTCTAAATTACCTACTAGGTAGCTGTCAGAGAGAGGCAGATCTGCCTCTCATCTCCGACAAGCAAATCAAATGGACGCAAAATACCGCCCAAGGGAAACCAGCGACGCGCTGTCAGATTAGATCAAGTTATTTACTCCCTCACCGAAGAGGTACTGCCATCAGATAGCAATAGCACAGAGAGATCCGACGGCGGCGATACCTTTGGTGGGTCTCTGCGCGCCAAATCGTCCTTCTCCCCCGATCTCTGGAGCTCTGTTTATCATCATCACGCGTCTTGGTGGGGGATATCAACCAGGGATAGATAATCTGATGAAAGGGGAAAGGAACAAAGACATGGAACAGGAACACAAGATAGGTGATGACATGACTATCAGAGACATAGTCACTAGCTCCCGCATTAGAGAGCTACTATCTACAGGGTCAGGGGGACACCAACACCCCGACTGAGCAACAAATGATACATGGGAGAGGCAGTAGTATACGATCTGTGGCTTTGCATCATTGACGCAGACTCGACGGGTGGAATCACGCGCGGCAAAAGCCAAAAGCAGAGGGGGGCCAATCAGGGAACGAACCATTTAACCAGTGCCTCCGGGCGGGGTGGCGACGAGAGGAGTGGTTCGTTCGCAGCTGAGTTGACACCCCGAAACATGAGTAGTGAGACTCATCCACGGCCTCACGATGAGGCAGCAGCGCGTCACCGGAGTGATGGACATGAGAGTCGGGATGAAATGGCGGAAGATGCCATATTCTAGGATCAGTCAGTTAGAAGGGCTGGGGTTTCATGACGGATGATGCCGAATAACAAGAAACGAGGAGAAGGAAGATGGCGTAGTCATCATAATGATGGAGGATGGTTAATTAAAGAGAAGGATTTGGGGGGGGATGTTGTAGAGGAAGGAAGGATGAGTGACTGGAAGGTACCACCCGTCAGGTTAGAGTCAAGCAGTTTCCGTCCGACCCAGAAAAAGTAAAATGGGAAGAAAAAAGAAAAATCGGAGAGGGAGCCTGAGGAACAGTATTTTTAGCGCGAGCAGTGGAACAGGCAGGCCAGGGTTAAAAGGGCCGCTGCTGCTGCTCCCCCGGAAGAAAGGGCGCCGGTCCTTTTCGTCTCCTCTCTGGATGCTGGGGCCACCCACGCCACGCCTTCCGTACACGCACTTTCTGCTCTCGACCAAAAAATTTATTCAAAAATTACACCAATTCGTTCTTAAAAAAGCTCGGACCACACGCGCCGCGCGATCGGCACAAACAAGAAAAACATCCCCAAACAAATCGGTTTCACGACCACGAGTATCTTCTTCATCGCGGAAAGTGTTTTTGTGGGATTGAAAATCGTCTACATTTTCGATCCCGGGCAGAAATTCCTCCAGATCCTGTATTCCAGTGGTGTGTTATGCCGGCCACGGTATCAGCCTGGTAGATTTAAATCCCTCCATTCCCCAATCTGTTGTTGTCACTCCAACTTTGGCGGCCAAGGTACGAAAAAGACGTTCTCCATATTTATTCCATACTAGGCCGTTTTCCTGTTAGGCGCGCACGCGCATCGCCCATAACGCCTGGATCTCTGCTTTAAGAAAAAGAAAAAGAAAAAGAAAAAATATTATAAATTGAAAAAAAGAAAAAAAAGAAAAAAACAAGAAAAAAAAAATCCCCACAGCAATGACAGACCAAGACCAATCCTATCGTCCACGATCCCCTGATTTTTCCACCTTCCAGTCAGTTCCCCTCTCACCTACCTTCAACAACCACAACCTCAACCACAACACGCACTATCAACTTCCTCACCACTCCCCCGTTTACCAATTCGGGAATCCTTTCGTCCATCGCGCTTCCTACGACGCCTCACCGTTCTTCACCCCGCAATATCAACCACCACCTCTACCACAACAACCATCGCTTCCTCACCACCCGGTCCCGCAGACCAGGGTTCCCCAGCAATCCTCCTCATACTTCCCTCCCGATCCGGACATGGCTCGTCGCTCGTCGCGTATCGCCCAAGCGGCCGAGGTCGCGCCTCACCCGCCCGTCTCCAAGTACGTCGACCCTGTCGAAGAAGAAGAGGAATTTGTACCTTCACCTCCACCTCAACCGCAACCGGAACCACAAGAGGAGCCCGTCGCTGTAATTGAAGAGGAAGAGCCTCCGAAACCCGCTCCTGTGCCCGTCAATGTGGAGGTGAAGACCAAATTTCCCGTCGCGCGCATAAAGCGCATTATGCAAGCCGATGAAGATGTCGGTAAAGTCGCTCAAGTCACTCCCATCGCAGTGTGTAAGTTGCCGCCCTCATCTCCGAAGCAATCATTGCCGCATGTTCGAAGAAGATCACCGCTAATCAAAATCAAAATATAGCCAAAGCACTCGAACTCTTCATGATCTCCCTCGTCACAAAAGCCGCCCGCGAAGCCAAAGACCGCAACTCGAAACGCGTCACAGCCTCGCATCTCAAACAAGCCGTTGTGAAAGACGAAGTGCTCGACTTCCTCGCTGATATCATCGCCAAGGTTCCTGATCAACCGGCCAGTCGCAAACACGACGACGATAACAGTGATCAAAATGAACAACAACCGAAACGAAAGCGCGGTGGACGTCGTCCGAAAGAAGAAAGTGATTAATTAATGCCCACTACGATTCTTGTTCTCAATTCGCGCGTCTTATTTGAAACGAACTGGCTAGAATGTCAGCTGGCATGCATTATGTGGTTTGAGGGACTTTCTATTTACTTGCGCGATGGGCAGCCATTCGATTCGATTCGATATCGATATTGATGGTTCAACTTTTTTTTTCTTTTTTATTATTATCCTTTAGACTGGGTGGATAAGAGCGGGCGCATACTTGACTTGACTTACTATCATACTCTTGCTACTACTTCTGCTACCACCGTTTCTCTCTCTATCTATATATGGCGTTTGTGGTAACGGGGGCATGATCAGGTTGGTTGGATGGTTGGTTGGGCTTGCATCGCGTGATGTGAATACTACTATTTGCTTATTTTCTTGATTCTTTACCTTCTACCATCCCATTGGGTATCTGATTTCTCTAATTTCTTGCTTGTTTTCTTACTCGCTTGCTTCTTATTACTACGCGAGGGAGTGACAAGCAGTCTGTACTGTATGTGTATGTATCGATAATGACTAAAAGGGAGTCTCAGGAAGGCAAGGGAGGGAAGCAACTTACCTTGCTTGCGTCGCATGGATTCAGCTGCGCGTGTACCTATACTATCTACTGAGTTATACTCCGCCGAGTGTATGATCTGCGCGTAACGAGACGCGTAAATACGAGTGATGAAGTAAACACCAAATGATCCGGCTCAGTTGAAGTGTAGCAATATTAAATAATTTTTCCTAGACATATGTCCATCCATATATCATCAATACAGAACAAATTCCAGGCATAACTGAGTGACATCCCTTCTTACTAGTACTGGCACATATTAAGTATACAAGCCAATTGAAGTCACATGACACTCCATGCATTAGGATCGTTCTATTTATCTCGGTCAGTCACGTGTCTGCATAAACGATCAAGTCCAATCTGACTCTGTCATATCTCTATAAGGAAGGACTCGAGTAGGAGGTAGATAGTAGTAGTCTGATTGTGTGGTTATTGTGATAGGCTGGCCACTGGCAAATCGGTGATAACAACTGTAGCTAATGACGTAGTAGATAGTTGTGTCAGTATATATTTCAGTTCCATCTTCATACTATATTTACACTACTGATCGTAGCTAGGATTCACAATCCTAATAGTACTTACTATTAGGGGCCAAATTAGTGTTTATATAATTGTAAATATGTTATTATATATCATTAATGTACAGTGTATAGTAGTTATGATTAATCACTGATTGTATATTATTGCTCAGAACTGTCTAACACTATACAGCCACTGTACCGCAACGGGTGTTACTAATTACTGCTCTGACAAGAGAACTCCACAGGGTGGTAAAAAGACTTTTACGGTTGACTTCTAATTGGCAAGAATGTTCATTACCTGTCATCATGAATGTCGACTAGTAGTACAGTAAGCGAGGTATTAGACTGCCTAACAGGCACTTAGGCAGCCACTAGTTAGCTACTACGTACCCTGTGATAACTACATCAGTCTGTGTTATGTTCAGACACGATGTATCACTAACCAGAAATAGAACAAGATATAATAATGTGTATATATTCCATCCATACAATCAGCCAGTCACCCATAATCGCAGGTCCCGCCCACGACTTTACTAAACATCCCTATCAATACAAACAGTAATTGACTATGCCTCAACCGTGGCAGTATCTACAGGACCGTCTATTCCAGGGTATCCCGCTTCTCCAAACAATGTTCCCCGCGCCTGCACAACAGCCGACGTTTCTAACAAGAACTCATAGAGAATGACTACGTTGGTCAGGACATGCCCCAGAGTCGCAGTGCGGGGTTCTTCATCGACGACTGCAGTGTCGCCCGCATCGTCGTTTGCTTCATCAGTTGCTTCCTCCGCAGTGGTATCGTTGTTGGCATCGTGAGGCGCATCTTCCACTGGGAATGGCTGTTCCAGTCGCTGGCGGAGTTCTTCAGCGGCGGATCTGCGCGCCGTAGAGACATCGCGGGGCGGTCGGAAGGGGAGGTCGCGGGTGGGAGAGCCGATGGCGTCGCGGCTGGGAGAGGAGGTGGCGGTGCTGGAGAACTCGAGGGGTCGACTTGACCGGCCGCGAGGGGACCCATAGTCCGAGTCGAGGTTGGATGTTGGGTGTCGGGAGGAGGAGCGGGTAGGAGGTGCGGAGTTGCGCTGAGAACGCCCAGACGCTTTGGCGGGCTCGTCGTCCTGGTGCAGGAGATCGCGACGCGCGGCGACGAGGATGTCAAAGTCCGGCATGTCCTTGCGCCATTTCTGGATCTTCTGCACAAGCTTCTGAAGTACCGAAGTGAGGGCTGGAGTGTCGGTGTGGGACCAGGAGGGCTCTTCGTAGGCTCGCTGGATCTGTTCAATAAGGGTCGTCGAAGGGGTTTCGTCTGAAGTTCTGTTCGTTGATGTGCTGTAGATGTACTTGGAAGGGTCCACGAGAAGCCAGCCGTCAAGAGCAATCAAGTGCGAAGATGCGATACTCCCGAGGACTTCGGTCAATGCCAGGTTCACGATAACACTGTTCGTGAAGAAGTTCTCCAGGCAATTGAGCAGCTCGCGCACAATGGGGTCGTCGTGTCGTAGCTCAAGTGGCAGGCTCTCTTCTGGGTAATCCTCGGCCGGGGGAATGCACAGCCGGGCCTCGAGAATTGCCATCCCGTCCTTAAGGTAGTTGTCATAAGACTCATTCAAGGTAGGGTCATCAACGGTAGATGTAGCCATGTTCATAAGCTGTTCCAGCTCGACGTTCAAGGCCCCGACAGTCCGTTGTTTGGCATGCTGGCCAGGAACGGTGCGTATTAATGATCGTGCAAAGGTATGGTGCCGTTGCAGGACGGTGCTCATTACCCGCAATGTCGCCAGAACAGTCTGCCTATTTGTCGACTGAAGTCCAAGGAGGGCAAGATCTCTCAGGTTGAAAAGCGACGGCGAGGGCCGCGCAGCTTCTTCGGAGAAAGCGGCCAAGACATCTAGCGACTTGCGTCGGCTGGCAGACATACCTATGTTCTTTCCGACTGCCGCAGGCTCCGAGTCAGAGGGAGACGCAAGCAGGAAATGAAGAATCCGGTGGACCAAGTCCTCCTGGTGTACAGACTCAAGAATGCGATACAGGTAGGTAAGCACAGCAGCCGTTGAACCCCCTTGCACATCGGAAGACTCAAGTAAAGACGGGTACCTGCATGCGTTATAGTGAGCAAGCGGCATTCCAGCAACCATATAACCGAACTTACAAGAGTTGTTCCAGGAAGAGAATTTGGAAATGATCCAACAAAGTCCCGTTGACCTCCGCCGACTTGCAATGATCAATAGTATCCTGCCAGAACAACAGATACGACATGAACGAATCCATCGACATGCCCAGCACTGGCGGAAGAGCAGTGTCTTGCTGCGCGTGATCCGACAGCGCAATGATATGAGGGATATTCTCGTCCGTATTCTCCGGGAAGGTCAAGCTTTTGCAACAGATATCAGCCACTGGTCCTCATCATCACCACGAAGAACCATGATAGAACTCACCTGCCCAATTGACTATACAGCGCACCCAATCCAGTAGCCATAAGCGTAGCAAGATCACTCTCAATCAGCCACCTCTCAAGGTTCTTCGACCTGGAAGCTGTCTCGATCAAATAAAGCAACCCCGTACGAGCAAAATCACCTGCCCTACCAGCATGATGCACATACTCTACGAGTAGGTAGAACAACGGAAAATCATCCTTCCTCATTGCACCCGCAAATTCAGCCCCAGTGTTATTACCATTGCCCTGTTCGCGTTCCTGTTCATCAGACCGCGGGGCGAACCACGCAGGAAGAATATTCGGCTGTAGACGAATATTGTTAGCCACGCCGAACAGTAGCTCGACGAGTCGTCCCTCAACATCCTCCGAGTGTTTATCCGCACGTCGCACTAAATCCACCAGTGCGCGGGCAAAGAGCCGATTATCAACAATACCATCGACCTCCGAATCGATGAGGGTGTTGAAGAACACGGTCGCGGATCGGAGCATGCCATCGTCGTAGGAAGACAAGGCGAGCTTAGTGACTGTGACGAAGATCTGTGAAGACGAGGCATATGCGAGGCATGGATGCGGAGCTGGGCCGCGGGATTCGTCGCTCAGCACGGAGATGAGGCGATCAATGCAATTACGCGCGTGAACGGTTGCGGATTGCTCGCCGGTGGAGGAGTTATTGGAGCGCCATATTTGCTAGGTTTGATGAGCGGGAAAGATCACGAGGGGATAACTAGGAGGAGGAGGAGGAGGAGGAGGAGGAGGAAGAAGGGCCGACGCACCTGAAGGGTATTGCATGTCCGCTTGAAGGACGCCAATCGCTCCGTGGGAGTGGACGCCCGGAAGCCTTTAGTAGACAGCGAGCGGGAGCCCCCGATGAGACGAGACCACTGGAGGCATTAGCTGAGGGACGGCGGTAAGGGAAAGGACGGGGGGAGTCGTACAAAGTCCATTGTTCTGTAGGAACAGCATATTACTCCGGAACTGGAGCCGACCCAAGTGGAGTAGAGAGTCCGCGGGGAGGTCGAAGCTGAAGATTAATCTCAAGGCCGGCGATGCAATTGCTCGCCCGCGCAAAAAGGGGTTAGTGCCGCCTGCCAAATCAGGCCTAGTTGTGATGCCTTATCAGTTTTCCCCTTTTGGGTTAGATTCCTGGGACACTACTTACTTAGGTACCTCCATAACATTTCCTATTCTAGAAGCAACTATAACTACTACAACAATCATGAACCACTATCACAACTCATCTAATCATGAGCACCAACCACATGTACATCCAACATTCAACCGGTATATAAATCCTTGATAGAGATGTCTTTACTCAATACCCCTCGTTAGCTAGTGGCATCCTTCCTGCCCCATTTCCCATCGCCAATCCCTCGATATACTTCGTCAGAGTATCATCCAAAACACCCCCAACGAGATACTTGGACAGAACGTGGCCGGCCAATTGTCCATGTGAAATAAACCCACATCTAACCACATCTTCTAAGAGCTC